GATGAAGACATAGTTTTCCCGTTTTCAACTTGACATTAGAGTAAAGCAATCTTCATCTGAATGTCTAAGCCCGACGTGCCAATTTGCGAAATGAGGCCAAACCGAAACCTGGACATCCCATTGTTCCCGAATTCATCGACGCGTTGCTCACTTTCTTAGACCTACGCCACGCTCACAATCTCCTTCGCCCCATTGACTGGCTATTCTTCTGTTTCCTTTCTTCTCGTTTCATTTTATCAACGCTTTCACCTCCCTTCTTGATCAGCCTTAGAGAGTATCCAACTTCATAGGATTGTTAGTGAGCACTCAACCGAATGGTTTCATGTGCACATGTATGGGTCGTTACCTGGGCACAGAACAAGTGTCAATTTGGCATGAAGTTAGGCTTGTAATAAACTCACAGCCATGCTAAAAGTTGCTTTAATCCCACTATTATTAAAAGTGTCTAAAATGAGGAAGAAAAGTGAAGAGACGCCTGGCCTAGACCTTGGCAAGCTTGCTGTCCTGTCGGAGGACTCCTTCATCATACCGTTTCACAGGTTCTCCAAGCCTACAGTTGCTTTGACCCTAGGGGATTCGGCAGACAGACACTGACAGTCGCCTTCTCGCCCACCTGTAACCGGCAGTCTGTGGAACAGTGAGGATCGGCAACAAATAAAATGGACAACAGAGCGACAATCAAGCAATCATTTTGTTGTCCCAACACGTTACCGGTCGCCTTTAAACTAAGGATCGGGTGTGTGAACGAGAATAGCTCAGATTATTTAAAGTTGAGCACCATTTAAAAGGGGATAAACGGACTGTTTGCTTGTACTTTAAAAGCCGATTAACCCAGACGACGTATTGTCTGTAGGACGCCATTTATAGGTGATAGCAACACATTAAAGAGGAGAGAATTAATTTTATCAGTTATAGTAGACAGCTAAGAAATATCAGGATGATTGCCTTATGTGAACTTTCTCAGGGTAAATTCCCTAAACTGCCTAATGTTGCTTTTCGTGTCACGTCGTCTATCCCTGTTCGTCCGTAGAGGAGGGAGTTGAGGGTGATTGAGCTCAATTATCCTTAATTTTCCTGTATTCTTCTCATACCTGGCATAAGATTGCATTAAAGCCTACAAAAGCAGCAAAAAAGACTTGGTGACATTCGACATTTAGCAGTAAGCCTTGCTTGCTCAACCGACATTGTGCCCGATTGACCAATCAGCGAGACGATTTGCACCTTACAGCTGATTGCCTACAGCTGTTAACTGCTCGCGTCTGATTGGTCAATTGCCGGTCCTGTCTGGCTCCAGCAGCCAATAGGAGGCGAGGTGAGGTTTAGGCGGGACTTTCTTGTCATCGGCCCTAATGGGACTTACGAGACTGTGCCTACTCCCAGCTTGGATGCCTGTTGACTGCCAAATATTGCCAGTCTCTTGTGCTAGTCCCGCCGCTACAGGAGTATATTATTTTTCTGCCTCTAACGCTTAATTGACAGGATTTTTCCCGAGTCTTGATGTGAACACAGGATTCGCCTGCATCGTGTGTTTTCAGCCAACATGTGGACGCTCGCCTGGCTTGTGATGTCGATTTCAGGCGTCATAGTTTCCGCCGGCCAGATCGGTATCTCGGCGCGACAGAGACGATCTGCTCATCTCTTGATTGGCGCCTCGCCGGCCGGAGGACACGTTCAGGACGCGTCCGAGATGCGCGCCATTGCGGCGGCCGTTTGTGTGGCCCACTGCCTCAAGGACTGTACCGCCAAATTGGAGCAGGCAGCCGTCAAGGGCCAAAGAGTAAGTCTGTACAGTTGCCGTGACAGCACAAGAGGAGGGCGGGTGCAGATCTGTATGAGTCTGGTGGCTGTGTGGCTGTGGGCCAATGGCGGGAACACGTTGGGCAAATGGTAATCTGAAAAGTCTGGTTTTAAAGGCATCCTGTACTATTTTGCGTGACTAAAATTGGGATTTCACACGAGAGGTTGATTGGAGGATTTGAGGCGTCTGATGAAGCGAATTAACTAAACCGCGTCACTCGTCGTTTGCAGCAGAATCAAGATGATGTG